CCTCCTCCTCCTCCTCCTCCTCCTCCTCCTCCTCCTCCTCCTCCTCCTCCTCCTCCTCCTCCTCCTCCACCTCTTCGAGGAACTCAGTGCTCAGAGTTCTGAGCAGCCTTATTTCCTTGCACAGCCCGGCCAAGGTCCGTCTCCAGCATTCTCCTTTGACAGGGACCATTCCACTTCTAGCTCAGCTCTGCCCAAACCGGCAGGGCAGCCCCTCCCCATCTTATCCTGGAATGGCATCCTCACCCCCCACCCCACCCAAAGCTCTCCTTTCCTCTGCTGGCTGACTGTACGTTATACATATGTTCGTAAAAGTCCCAAAGTACACACTGCTGTGGTACTGGCTGAAAGTGTCCCCTTCACTCCGTCATCGTGCTAGTAATTCTCAAGGAGTGTCTTAACAAAACTGAGATTTTCTTCACGGCTCGGCCAGCCTTTGTTTCCAACTCTTTGGAAACAAAGAGTTTCCAAACTTTTTCCAGCTACGTCATTAACTGTAGCTGTGAAACTAGGATACATCCGTGCATAACTGTATGTATATCTTTCTCTATACATCAGCCCTGTTATTTCCTTTAAGGGACACCATAGAAACTATGATTTCTCTTCTCCCAGGCAGACCGTAGGAATGCCGATCTAACCCCACGTGGATGACCCGGAGCTGGCCAGTAAGAAAGTCTCTGACCTGACTTGTGGCTCAATAGGTCACATAACATCCGCTTCAGCAGAACCTTAGCCCCATGCCCAGGGATGGGGAGTGCTGCCGGGAGGCTGGGGGAAAAAGTCTAGACAGGTCTTGCTGGGTTCCCCACGCAGCCATTAGCATTAGATCACACTCTTTGTCCAGTCATTTTTGAGTGTGGTTGTCCATCCTTCGCTCATACCTCGATGAATGGGCATTAAAAAAACTCTTCAAAGGACAGGATTCTGCACTGTTTGAGGAGGTTTTCAGGAGCATAAACTGTTACTCCAGTGCTTGGATGATGGGGTGTCTCTCCTTCATGGGGATGGAGGGTCTTATGTTCAGCTTTCCGGAAGACCTCACCTTACCTATGTCTTCAACTGAAAGTCTTTCTTGCATTTAAGCACTGAGTTACCCCAAGTTCTGGGAGACACTATAGCGAATTAACTGGATTCCTGGAGGGGGCCCATGGAAACACCTTTGTAGCTGGGTTTATCAGGCTCTCAAGGCCCGGACTTGTGTCCAGATCTGGAGTAGGGGCTGTCTTGGGATTGAACCTTCAACTTGTGACATGTAGAACATGTCAGAACTTAAAGGACACCTGTCTTGTGTCCATTGCAAAACTACTTTCTTGATGGTGGGGACAACCTCCACATCTTCTGATACCATGAAACCAGTCTGTGCCAAATGCAGACTGGGAGGTTTGAGCTGTTTCCCTGTATACAATCCATAGGTTGTATGTATTTATATGATAAATTCATAAGACTCATACCCACTAAGGGGTAGTTTTCTGTGTATAATGCAGATAAATATAAGCAAAGAGACTCTATAGAAATGTATTGGTATTGGAAGACAGTGAACAGAATGTATTGCTTCCCTTAACCAAACAAGACAATAGATACTTCTGATCAATAGTGTCTATTCACAAGCTTGCGAGATGGCTCAGCTACTTGTCCTAAAAACCAGATCCCAACTGGAAGGAGAGAAGCAACTACTGAAAAATAGTCCTCTGTGTGCGTGTGCACGTGTGAGTACACACATATACACAGGCACATATGCAAATAAGATAAAAATTAAAAGAAAACTAAGAAAAATGCTAAATATTGTGATGGTTTGTACATGCTTGGCCCAGGAAGTAAAACTATTAGGAGGTGTGGCCTTGTTGGAGTAGGCGTGGCCTTGTTGGAGTAGGTGTGGTCTTGTTGGAGTGGGCGTGGGCTTTAAGATCCTCTTCCTAGTTGCCAGGAAGCCAGTCTTCTCCCGTTTGCCTTCAGAACAGGATGGAGAACTCTCAGCTCCTCTTGCACCATGCCTGCCTCGATGCTGCCATGTTCCAGCCTTGATGATACTGGGCTGAACTTCTGAACCTGTAAGCCAGCCCCAATTAAATGTTGTCCTTATAAGAGTTGCCTTGGTCATGGTGTCTGTGCACAGCAGTAAAACCCTAAGACACATATCCACTAGCCTGAGATTCTTTTTAGTTTTCATTACATTCCGTTTTATGTCAGGTTGTTGTTAGGGTCCTGTCACAGGACTGAGTAACACTCCGGATTTAAAAAAAAAAAAAAACACGTTCTTAGATCGTGTTAGACAACATGGAAATACCAGCTACTTGACAATTTGATTGTGCTTTTCAGTAATATTACTTGATCGTAGAACCACTTCTGGGGACAATTCCTTAGTAATATAGTATTTATTTGTTTATAATCTCTTTTTAAAAATTGTGTTTTTAAGACTACAGTTTAGTCCTTTAGAGTCAAATGATTGAGAGGGATCCCTCCAGTTCTCTCCTCTGCTTGCTCCTCCTCCTCTTCCTGTCTGTCTGTCTGTCTGTCTGTCTGTGTTCCCACTTTCATATAGTTCAGGTTTGCCCGAAAAATGCTAAATGGTGGAGGATGACTTCCTGCTTCCACCCCGAATGTTCTAGATCACAGATGTGTGCCATTATACTGGTCTCCTATGGCTTCTTAGGTTTTCAAAATGTAGATTCAGTTTGAGCTGTGTATTAGTCAGGCTTCTCTAGAGTCACAGAACGTATGGAATGTATCTCTATATTGGGGGAATTTATTGTGATGACTTACAGCCTGCAGTCCAACTAACTCAACAATGGTCAGCTGTGAATGGAAGTCCAAGAATCTAGCAGTTACTCAGTCCCACGAGGCTAGTTGTTTCAGCTGGTCTTCTGTAGAAGTAGGGTCCAACAGATGCGCTGGCAAGTAAGTGCAAGCAGGCGAAGAAGAGCAAATCTTCCTTCTTCCAATGCCCTTAGGTAGGTCTCCAGCAGAAGGTGTGGCCCACATTAGAGGTGTGTACCACCATGCCTGGATCTGGGACTTGCTTTGTTCCAGGCTGACCTTGAACTGAGAGATCTCCTTGCCTCAGTCTCCTGGGAGTAAAGGTGAGTACTACCTTGCTTGAGCGTAAGCTTTTCATGGCCACTATGCCTCAAGATCTGCATGCCAAGATCCAGGTCAGAAACTTGTGTCTTCCAGTCTCAAGATCTGGATCACAGGTGTGCTTTCCAATTCTGGATTGTAGTTTACTTCAGATATAGTCAAGCTGACAACCAGGAATAGCCATTACAGGCTATTATTGTTGCTGTTCTCCTCCTCTTCCTCCTCTTCCTCCTCTTCCTCCTCCTCCTCCTCCTCCTCCTCCTCCTCTTCCTCCTCTTCCTCTCCTTCTTCTCTCCCCTTCCAACAATATTTGGGTTCATGGTTTAACCCATTAGGCAATTATTAGCTTATGCATTGTTTTTTATTCTCTTGCTCTCTTTGCTCACCTGTTTGCTAGTTTCTCCAAACGTCTCTAATTGGACAGTTGCTTTAAGTTTTATCATTGCTCCTTCACTGTAAGGCAAAGCTAGAGACTACTGCTTCCTTGGTGGCACTGGTTGCATTCTGAAAGCAGTGATTTTGCTCTAATTTGAGTTTCTTTTTTGGTCCAGAACTAAAAATAGGAGAGATAGTATGTACTGTTTTAATTACCACATGGTGAGGACTTTGTGGCCAGGCTTCTAGTTTTGACAACGTGATTGACACCGGGTTTTATTTTCATCTCCCTGGTTAATAACGAAGAAGGGTAAGCTTTAAGTTTTGGTTCTTCTAATTCCGTTTCAGTTTCCATGACGTTTAGAATTTGTGGCCTTTTAGAGTGGCAAGGAAAGTTTTGTTACATTTAAAGAATAGTTTGAGTGCTGACTGACTTTCTATGAAACACTGAATCCTGTGTTTATGGGCCTGTCTTAGGGTTTCAGTTGCTGTGTTGAAACACCAGAATCAAAAAAGCAAGCTGTGGAGAAAAGGGTTTATTTCACTCACAGTTCCATATAACAGTTAATCATCAAACTCGGTGAGGGCAGTGTGGTGGTTTGAAGGAAAATGGCCCCCATAGGCCTATGGGGAACGACACTATTAGGAGGTGTGGTCTTGTTGGAGTAGGTGTGGTTTATAGAGGAAGTATGTCACTAGGGGGCAGGCGTTGAAATTTCAGAAGCTCAATCCAGGCCTAGTGGCTTACTCTCCCTTCCTGCTGCTGGCTGATCCAGATATAGAACTTTCAACACCTTCTCCAGTACCATGTCTACCTGGATGTTGCCATGTTTCCTGCCATGATGACAATGGATTAAACCAATGAACTGTAAGCCAACCCTAATTAAATGTTTTCCTTTATGAGACTTGCTATGGTCA